TAGTTAGTTAGTTAGTTAGTTAGTTAGTTAGGTAGTTAGTTAGTTAGCAGCACACATAGCGAGGGTTCTTGCAAGACGACGGTAAAAACTGAGTCGGATGAGAGGCGATTCTTTTGACTAGCTGACCTCCTAGTTACGTCACCTTCTAAACAACAGAAAATTAATCATGCCTGTTTGTTTTAATGTGACGTGTTAAACAATGTACAAAATGTTCGTTAATATGAACATTTGTGCTGTAATAAATGTGAACCAGCTGAGGAAACAAGATACACAATGCAGTGCCCTTGTAACACGTCTATTTACGGAAGAATTCAGATGCAGCGCAGAACAAACTTTTGAACGTTACTGTAGTTTAACATCGCATTTTTTTTACAACTGTTGCGATGGGGCGAGGCTTTGGCGGCGCGCGAAACAAATGTCGAGGGTGCGTGGCAATGCGTTCTTTGCGTGACGCACAATGGGGATTCCACGCAAGTGTGAGGTTTCAGGTTCTCAAGGATTAAGACGGCTGTCTTTAGGGATATTGCGCCGTGTAGTGTGGTATATACTGACTGATGTCTCAGAGGCACTAGAATGCATGGCGGAACATGTCAGCAGACAGTCATCGTTAAGCTTCTTGTCTTACGGTCTAAACCAAACCACTGTTTTCCAAACTACGCTCCACGAACTGCACCATTATTTTCCGTAATTAAAATCGAGCAATGGCGGTCTTTACCTAAATTGGCAATTAAATTATTTTATTTGTTGACATAAACAGATGATTACAGAGTGACGTCACATTTTCGGATTAAAAATATTACTCCTAGATTGAAAGTGGCATAAAAATAAATTATACACGGGGTCCCGAAGAGGAAATCATGACGTCTAGGTGACCCGAGAACTGAAAACAAAATTGGAAACCACTGCTCTAAACAGATAAACGTATTTCGATTAAATTTAGTATGAGCGGTCTGAAATAAAATTTGGTGCGCAAATTTTGTTTTTTGCCCCGTGTCGACCTATTACGAGGTGCGATCGGAAAGTTTCAAGACTGCGCGTATAAAAACCCGTACACTTATCTCAGGTATTAAATTCATCCACCACCCTCGAAGTAGTTCCCCTGGGAGTGAACACAACGATCCCAGCGCCGCTGCCAAGCCTGGAAGCATCCCTGGAAATCTTTCTTTGTCAGCCTGTCAAGCACCATCTGCGATTCTGCCTGAATCTCTTCTATCGCCTCAAATCTCCTTCCCTTTAGCTGCATTTTCATCTTTGGGAAGAGGAAGAAGTCACACGGAGCTAAATCCGGCGAATAAGGAGGGTGCGGGATGACGGCCATG